TCATAATAGCCAATAAACCAAGCATACACACATGTACACTCATGTGTGCGCGTGTGCATGTGTGTGCGTGTGTGTGTAGCAGTCACTTCAATCCAAAGGCAATGACACAAATGTTTTATAGCCCTGTCAGGCAGTGGCAGGTCCTTTAGCCACTTGCTCCTGCCTTCCGCACAAAACACAGCCATTCACATTCACACACCCATTCACACGAACGCACACACACACACACACACACTCGCACACAGTTGAGTAAGTATGTGTGGGCTCGTTCTTGCTTCTTGGGTCCACAAAATGCATTTCTAATTAAGTTAATTGCGGCAAATGCTAAACTTAAGTCACTAACCTAAATTAATAAAAGGCTGCGCAGCCAACATATGAATGTGAATATGAATGTGTATGTGTGTGTGTGTGTGAGAGTGTGTGTTTGTATGATTTGTGTATGCGTAATACCCAGGAAATAACTTACTGCTATTACTTATAATGCCTTACATGCATGCCCTTCAGCAAGTGAGCTTTATACGTTAGCTAGAGCAATATAGTTTGGTTAGATTGATTAGATCTAAATAAATTGATTATACATGCATATGGTATGCTAAAAATAATTTATTATAAATAATACCTCATTGCTTATAGCTTTTCGAATTCTGTCTATTATATATTATATCAATCTACACTATTATATATGCTATAATGATTGGATTTTTAAAACTCTCTCACGTTGTATCGATTCGTGGCTCAGTTATTCTATTTGATCATCTCCTAAAGCTTAAAGCTCGTACTAATGCTTATCCTATGACTTCATGAGCTTTCAAAGCCCATTCCAATGTATCATGTTTACTCTTCAACACCCAATAAACCTCTTTAATTAAGTATTGACCTTAGATTTCCTGCTAATGCGCAAGAGTGAACTAAGCGACCCTCCAGCAACGCTTATAGAGCAATAAATGTTTGCTTCGTGTTGGGCGCCTTGTTGTAATTTTATTTAATAACTGTTTTGTTGTTGTTTATGAAACATTTGCCGACGGCTGTCGGTTCGTTTCACACACCAACAACACCGCAATCCACACTCTCACACGCACACGTTTAAGGCGGAAGTGAGCAGCGCGCGCGTGTGCTGTCGGCTGAGGCAGCGACGTCGACGGCAACAGCGACTGCGGCAGCGGCAACGACAGCGGCAGCGGGACAATCATATAAAAAGGGACAATTGGACAACTGGGCGCCGCCTGCGGTGTCAACGATGCCATTTGGTTTTGGTTCAGTTCAGTTCGGTTTGGTTTGGTTTATTGTTCCACTTTTCATGTCAAAGTTATTGTAATTGTGTTAAGGCATTTCCCGTGTATATTCTACACACTCACGCACACACACACACACTTACGCACACACTTACTGAGCTATAAATAAGAATCGGAGCAGTGCCGTAGGGCGGTGCAGACACTTGTTTGACTTTGGCTCAGTCGCCATGTTTGTTGGCGTCTCTCACGTCACGCTTCCCTCTCTCCTACCACTCCCTCCCTCTCTCTCTCGCACTCTTTCTCCCTGTCGTCTCTCATTTTCCTTATGCCAATGTGTCCATGTATTTTTTAACGCACATCATTATCATTCCGTTTGTGTTTTGAACGGGCGCACAGCAGCTGAAAGCAGGCGAAATCCAAATGCTGTTGACTGGGCGCAGCTTTCGCCAACTCACACCCAGCCTGAACAACCACACACACACAGGCATACATATATGTATATACAAAAAGAATGAGCAAATAAAGGAAAAGCTTATGGTTTTTGCTGTTGCTGCTGCCTTTTTGTTGTGTTCTCCCTCTCACTCCTGTGTTCTTTCTCTCTCTCTCTCTCTGGCTCACTGGTTGATTTTTGTTAGATTTCTTTTTTGTGTGGGAGCTTGGCGTGGTATATAAGCCACTGAGTCTGACTCTATGTGTTGGTGTGTGTGTTTGTATATATGTACACTCGGAGTACAAATAACAAAAGGATACAACAAACTCAGAACAGAAAGTTTTGACACTTTTATACTTGGCTTGCAGCGACCCGAAACCAACCCAATAAACCGACCCATTCACATTTCGGGGGGCTGTTGGAGTTGGAGGTTCAGTGGGTTGTTTAATGGAGCCTGGCGCGTTTGTGTTTTCAAAACTCGAGCACATGAGCGTGTGTGTGTGTGCGCGTGTAAGTGTTTCTGTGTGTGTGTGTGTGTGTGTGTTTGTGTATGTGAATAGAAATGGGTCTATTTGGGCTAATATCATTGTAACTTATGATATTCATATGATATTATTGCTTGGAGCCAAACTCAATCGCAGCCTTGTGGCTTGGGTTGCCTTGAAATATTAAAGAGTTTAGATTTTGTTGTTTTTTTATGATTATAATTATATGTGCTCATGGAAGTTAATATAAAGAGAATATTAAAATGTATTTTAAATGTTTTGTTTTCATTTAAACCAGAAATTTTATAGTATGAGACAAAAGTATACGTATAGATTATTAATAAATATTTAATCGATTACATGATATCGATTATCAATAACAGTCATCGACTACTTAAACTTACCCGATGGAGTAAAACCACAGCAGTCAATGGTATAGAAGTCAGTTTCCTATCTCAAGTAGCCTTTGGCATAGTTTTCTGATATACAATTAAATACCATACTATATACCATATCAAAAGCTAACGCATATTCCAACATTCACATCCAATTATCATTCATACAAATACGCTAATCACAATGTTTGGCAACTTATCCAACAGGAATAGGAACCACTGCTATGGGGGCTTCAACTATGAGAATTTTTTGCGGTAAGTGTTGTTTGGACAGCAGCCTGAGCCATAGCTAAGAGAAAGAGTTCGGCCACAGCAATGATGAGATGCTAAAGATGGGCTATAAGCCACCGTTGGCCATCACCACTGGTACCACTGTGGTGGGCTTACTCTTTAATGCGGGCGTCATGATTGCCACGGATTCCAGAGCAACGCGCAGCAATTTGGTTAATTCGAATGCAACCCCAAAGATTTGTCGACTGCAGCGTAATATATAGTAAGTGTCCGATTGATCAGATAGCGCTTGCGCGACTATCCCTTCCTTCTGTGCAGTTGTGGTGGCAGTGGCTATGCCAGCGATCTGTCTAGGCTGACGCGACTGATGGAAGAACAGTGCGCAATGCAACGTGAGGCGACAAATGGGCGTATCCTTCCCGCAGTCTGTGCTAAGCAGGTGGCCAAGACGCTACTAATGAGCGCGATGGGCCGCATGATGATTAGCTTTGTGCTGGGTGGTGTGGATCCCGAGGGTGTGCACCTCTACAGTGTGCACTTCGATGGCACCACCGAGATAAGCCAGTACACCTCCGTTGGCAGCGGGCAGTACAGCGCTATGGGTATCATGGAAAGTCGCTGGAGGCCGGACATGACCGAGGATGAAGCACGCGAACTGATTGTCGATGCCGTTAGTGCCGGGATCGACCATGACCTGTCATCTGGCTCTAGCATAGATCTAGTTGTCATACGCTCCAATTATACCGTTGCTAAATGCACGGAAAATATCCATAGACCCTTAGTACCAGAGGCTAAACCAATTATAGAGACAACCGAGGTCAAAAAATTAGAGGATGTTGATATTTATATTGTGGAGGAATTGGTAATGCCTCTATCCCTTATACTACCAATGCCAATTCTTCAGAAGACTGACAAGAAACCCATCAGGCGAGATGCAGTGCGTAACACACCAGCACTCACACAGATAACTCTCAAGCCTAGAACAGAGGATATAGATGATGAAGATGCACCGCCCAAGAAGAAAAGAAAGATTTGAACATGGTTCCAAGTTAGTTAAATGAATAAATTGTTGGAAGCAGCTGGAACTGTTACTTCTAAGTTAGTTAACCTGAGAACTGAAAAAATTTGCCTTTTATATAGTATTCTGAATATACACTTTGTGGGAATTTCTTTAAATAAATTATGCAACAAAATTTTTAAAAATTCAATATCCATTCGCTGAAAAAGTGTTGGTAAACAAAACAAATACAGCTCAGACTCAAATAGTTAATAATCGATAACAATAACAGCTTTTCAAATTTGTAATAAGGTAGTTGAGATTACCGCAAAACTAGAATTTAGTACATTCAATCGTTAGTGTTATATTTTAATGACATTTATGTACTTTATTTTCTTTTTTTTTTTAGGGTTAACAAAATGGTTGTACATAAAAGACTTTTATTTTGTTGTTTTGTGTTGGCTCGCATTGCACAGTTAACCATTAAATTACATAAGACATATATAATTTGACATTGCCTATTTGCCCCATCGTTCAGCGCAATATTTCTTCAATTTCACTTTCCTTATTTGATAATTAAACGTGTTTTATTTCTTTTCGTTTCTATTAAGAAGCTATTTCGAGTGAGTCGAAGTTTGGAAAATTTTCTTACAGTTATCATACTCTGTACAGGTAAAAGATTTTTACACATTTCTGTTGCTTGGGAGTTCGTCTACAAATCCGTTATAATATTTCAATTATCATAGCTCTAACTGGTTACACATACGTACATATGTATGTATATATTTATAGATTTATCTAGGTATTTTTTCACATGCTTTAGCCGGACTCAGCACTTTTGCGCTATTTAATGTTGTAGCTAATGTTGTTTAAAAATTGTTTTCGCTTATTTGATAGATATTTTGCTCGCTATTTTGTTAATTTATTTTCACATAATATATATATTTTTAAATATATATTTATTTTTCTTGAAATTTTATTGTATAAGCAGCCTGTTAGATTTGCTCAACGACGGTTTTTAGACGCTAGAGTTGAAGTTTTGTTCTTCTTTTGATTTATACAAAGTTTTTCAAACGATTTACAAAAGAAAATGGAATCAAAATGCTCATCCTTTAAACTGCTTACATACGTGGTGTAAAAATACAAATTAATCATATTGATTAGTCATTTGTTTACATACACATCTTCTGTTTCTCTATGTATATAAATATATCAATCATTTTCTAGTTGTTTTTTTTTTTTTTATTATATTTATTTTCTTCTTTTTTTGCTGTTGCGCTACTTAAGATTATTGTACAAGCAAATCAAAACCATTTGAGGTCCAGTGTCAAACGAATCATTTTCAATATTTCCAAACAAAGAGAAAAGAAACAGATTACAACGAACAATTCTTAAAACAAAACATGGAACCAACCAAATCGGAACCATTCGGAACCACTTGATCATCGAAACGTTCTCCCTCTTCTCTCTGCCAGTTGCTCCTGTCCAGCTCCTGCTGCTGCCTCGCTCTACTGATACTCATCGTCGCTGCTAAGCAGCATTGTTTTCTCGTTGTAGTTCTGACTAATGGTTGCCACACGCTGTCCGCCCGGAATGAATTTACGCTGGTTGCCCAGCGTCTTGGATGCAACACAGCTGTTGTTGCCGCCTCCAGTGGCCACCGCATTGTATCCACCGCTGCTCGCTGTGGTGCCTCCCGTGGTGGCAGCTTGGTTGCCACTATTTGGATCATCCGGATCGTAGCTGGAGACGCGAATGCCACGCGAATTCTTGCCACCTGCACGAAGGTTTTATTTACTTAGAAGGTTTCATAGTGTTGGGAGTTAACAAGAGATTCGAAATTCATGCAAAATGCAGGCTTTCTATATATAAGATATGTATATATATTTAGATATATATGAACATTGCAAGCAAAGGAAAGGCGACGCAGTTAAGCTTATCGTACATTTATTTAATACAGTTAATTTAAAGATAGTTTATACAATTCGTTTAAACATTTACAAAAGGTTTTATAAAAAAAAAATAAGAAACATAAAAAGCAAGAGCTTTCGATTTGAGTCTATCACAAAAGAAAATCAAAAAGCAAATGGTTTTTCTTGTTTTGTTTTTTTTTAATTTTTTTTTTTTTTTTTTTTTTGGTATCTTTGAGCTAAAAGTTATATTGTATCGAAAGATTTCTATATATTCGTAAATTTGAACATTTAAATGCATAATAAGCTAAGAACATGAACTGTGAGAATCTCAATTTATTGAATAAGAATATTCCGCAAAGGTTTGCCAAGATTAAAATTGTAAATCCCTATTGAGTCTGGAAAATGTTTGTTAATCTGTTTGGGGTCCATTGTTTATATATTGCCATTTATACAAATAATTACATACGTATAATAATAAAATCTTTGTTTACACATACATGTATAATATTGTACAATATTATCAATTTATATATAGTGTATGTAGAATAAATTGCTAGCATTTAAATAAGTTGATATAAGGCTTAAATCGTAAACGTAAACATAATATATAAAAAAAATACACACAAATCAGCAGGAGAGGGAACGTTAAACAAGGTAATGTGAAGTGTTTCAGAGTACATCGTTCAGTTACATAATGTTCTAAGGCAGCTAGGCAATTTTGTGGTAATCGGTTTTTCGAGTGCGCGCTTTCTGTAAGTAACTAGGCCTAATACGTATTTAATGCATAATCTTTTCTTTATAATTATATTTAAGCGGCAACAAAAGGCAACTGTGGTGTCAATTGTTAGCTTTAAGTACACTTGATTTGTCTTTAAACTGCTTGTTTTTACTATAATCATTATTTGTATGCTGTTATTTCCCTCCATTTGTTTTGGAATTATAGTTAGTGTTTAGTAGCGGGCATCGCTAGTTTTTTTTTTATTTTGTATTTTGTTTGTATTTGCTTTAAGAGTTTTAGAGCTTTTCGTAACGCTGAGTTGAGGTTACGTCTGCAAAAGATAAGAAACAGAAAGAAAACAAAAGTGTAAAACATAATGATAATGTAATGCGAATGAAAAGCAAAGTAAAATTGATAAGATTCAACAATCAATAGCTACAGCGAGCAGGCAACAAACATTCAACGAGAGACGAAAAATATCGAAAGCAGAAAAGAATAAGGGAAAGAATTTACCTGAACTATATTGTGTGTATTGTTGATACTGTGGATGGAAATTGTGTATAGCATCTGTCATAATATCCTTGGGATTCATGGTTTCCTGGAAAAAAAAAACACGAAAATGTAAGGGAGTTGCTAAGAAAAACAATGCTAAAGAGATTTACCTTGAGACTGCTGGAAATAGACTGCATAGTGACAGAGCGTCCGTGTCCATCGCCAATGCAGCTGCGCGCATAGACCTAAAATGGAGAGATAAGAAATTTATAAATAAATACTGATATGCTTTAGGCTAACAGTAGTCGCACGGTCTATTAAAATCAATTACCCAGATTAATATGCCTTTACTTATCGTATATTTTTATTAAAAATTGAGCCCCTATTAGAATTCCTATGCCACAAATAGGGAATATACAATATGAATCATATGCCAGGCATGGCTGATAGCTGATAGTCAAATTGTTAAAGCATTGCCTTTGATTGCGAAAATATTGTAGTCAGTCATTTAAGCATAGCACAAATTACAGATAAGCCAAAGCGAGCTCCAACTTATCTTATCGTACGCTATACCTGTCATATCGTACTCACCTGATAGGGGAACGCATATCGCAGCGCAATGGCAGCAAACAGCATTTCAATGCATATGAAAAAGTTCTGATAGCCAGCGGAAACGGTACCAGCCGAGGTGACAGTGCCAGCACTGTCCACAATGGGTGATATGACCTGCGCCTTCTCGAGTATGGCCAGACCTACGCCCTGCCAGAATGACAAGAAGATGACTGACTTGATGGTGCAGAATTTCAAGACGGGCTCAAACGGTGTCAGCAGATCACGAGTGGCAAAGTAAAACAGATATAGACCATACAAAGCCAGCGAAACGGAAATGTTATAGATGATGGTTATGTAAATGTAGCCGCCATCAGCGCTGTAAAAGAACAAACAATAGATTAGGCAAACTTTTCAGATTGATTACTAAGTACGCTGCCACACAACAAACCTCCAATCACCATCATGGTAATGTCCAAAGGCCTGCAGAAAGATGATTATAAATGCCACCAGTGGCTTAACCAAGCAGAACTGCAGCGTGGCTTGCTTGCAGAAGCGCAAAAATCCAATGGTGTATGTCTTGCCCTTCAAACAGCATGTGCCGTACAAGCAGGAGGTCTTTATGGGCTTTCCACGTATCTCAGACATAATGTTACCCTCACCGCCTAGATACTCATAGCATAGCGACAGAAAGTTGTAAATCACGAAGGCTGTAAAAGCATATTTACACAGAGATTAGAACGGACTACGCGGGGGAATAAGAGATTACGAGAGTACCGCACCTTCATAGCAATCGCGCACCGTGAAGAAGTAAATGTAAACGTTGTCAGAGTTGAAGAATAGCAAACTAATCCATGAGTAGGTTGCATAGATGGGCACAATGAACAGTATACGGACTATCCAGCGCTGCTCCTGTGGATTGGTGTACCAACGTAAATGCTGATAGATCTGTAAGTGATATATGTGATTAGTTGAGTATGTATATCTATTGAATTTCATGATTTGAGTGCCCACTCACCTGTTGACATGTGACAAACAGCGCTGCCCAAACAAACACGCCCGCCAGCACCTGTGCTGTTTTGGTCTGCAGGAATATGCCATCGCCCACATGAAGCAGGGGGTCCAATGGCTCCGATGCCACGCCCATTTTCACAACGTAGTTCGTATTCGGTTTCAGGGTCGTCGCTGCAGCAGCAGTATCAGCAGTTCCGTTACCCGTCGCAGCAGCAGCAACAGCAGCGACGCTGCTCACAGTTATAGCCGCCTCAATGAGACTGGCCGGCGTTGTGCTCATTCTGTCGCAACAAAATCGAGTTAGCAATTAGATAAAAATGAAAATAAAAAGAGGAAAAAAGAGAGAAAGGCAAACACTATGATTAGGTACACAAACTTGTTTACTTTTTGACAGTGCCCACAAAAGTTTTTCAACTACAAATTTAAAATGATGAGAGAGACAGCTTGCAATATGCTCAGTAAATGGGGTCAACGGCAAAATGTGGAGCAGTATGGAGAGAAGCACGCATTAGATCATCATTATCTACAGAAACATCATCATGAACGATGAACGAAGCGTAGACTGACACGCAACATTATATTAAATGGACTCGCAATATATTTACGGGGGCCGCTCTAGCTAGCTAGCTAGTGAAAAAGTTTTCTCTCAGGGTCAGCTCGAACTGCTCTATATCGATTCTATACTCGAGTTCTATGTACAACTATGCAACGTAGGTAAATACAGCTGTGTATCAATCAATAATCGAGTGTGAAACAAGCTGCATGCACGCGAAGCTGCTCAATGGCGACGCAAATTGACGCAATTATATATGCATTAATGTGCACGTAAATGACAATTAGGCACACACTTCCAGGTAGTTCATTCCACTGAAATCGTTTGGTAATTAAACATTTAAATGAAATATATTAGTTAAGCTTGTTCTGCTGAGCGTAAAACTAAGAAAACGCGGGTTAGCTTTCAAAAACTCTACAAAATCCACGGGTTGCAGCGGATTGCAAGATAGTTCATTGCCAATCTCTACAAAATCAGTGTGCGAACAGTTTAAGTGTTGCCCTACAAAATTAATAGGCGACCTTAGAAAATGCCAGTGCTTGAGGTTGTTGATATTTGTAATACAATAAAAAATATTATATTAATAATCACTCTTTATTATGAATATTTCTTTTTATTATATATAACAAAGAGAAAAGAGCGCTAAATGCAAAAGTAACACAGACGTGACTCAGTCTTATGCAAAACTCAAAATCTTACTGAGCCTGAAGTAAAGCGTAATATTTTCTCCACAACTACAACAGCAACAAATTAACAAAATCTGTGAACACTGAAACCCAAAAAGTGTGAACTCATAAACAAATCTACTAAAAGCTGTTGAGAAAAATACATACATACATATGAATAAATATCTAGCAAAAAGAGAAATGTCAGATAGAAGCGAACGAAAAATAAAAGCAACAACAAGTTGCTGTCTAAAGATACAGAGATATATTGGCACAAAGCAAGGTCTCCACAAGTCTCCACTCTGCAAATTGAAGTAGCAGCACGGAAGCGTTTTTGACAGATACGAAGAAAATACTATATGTATGTGTGTGCATATGTATATGCATGTGCGTATGCAAGGTGTATGTAAATTTTGTGGGAGTATGGGCCGAAATCAAAACCAGCAACAATTTCGTTAAGCCAGCGCTAATTACATTTTTGGTCTGCTTTGTGTGGCTTCTAGTTGAACAGTCAAATTGATTTTCATGCCTGTGTCCAAAATATAAGCCATACACTGTAAATAAATACGCGGCTTAAATGCCAACATATGCGACCTTTCTGTTGTAGAAGATACCTGTCCAATGACTGCTGCTTATCAAACGACACACACACATGCCCAAACCTACAAATATAGCTCACACACACTTGCTTATCAAATGCGAAAAATAAAAACACACACGTACATACTAATATATATACTCATCAAATTTCGTCATCAAAAATGGGTATTTTACTTGCTACTTGTCCGTTTCAGGGAAATCAACTTTTACACATACACAAATTGCAACACACACACTGTAAATGCAACTTTATTACCTCTTTATAAGTGTAATTTTTCTCGATTTGCTTTTGCGTGTAGTTTTCACAGCTCGAAATTCCGTTTAATTTTACTCCAACAATAACCACTTCAATTTTTTTCTCCGTCGCTGCGACGCGAACAGACGTTCGTGCTCGTCTGCTGATTAAAAGAGAGACAACGCAAACGCGGTCATAACGAAAATACAAAACACAGGATTTATTTATTTTTTAAATAATTACGTGCTGATTTTTATATCTAATTTCAACCAAATTTTAGCAATTTTTTACATTCACTAGCGTGCGAACTAGGATTGTTGATAGCTTATCGATATTTGCGATGTTTACTTTGTTCATATACTGATATATCAGCGATACATTTTATTATCAAGTATCGATATTTTTATAATTTCAGCTGTGCAAATGAGATCAGCAGTGCTGTAAAACAACTGTGGAATCGTATTTATTTCGATAAATGGTTCAGGCATGGAAAATCAGAACTCTCATTTGTTTACTTATCTGTGTCGAACTTTGAACTGCTGTCGCAGATTGCTGCAAGTGCTTAAATAATGTAAACACATCGTGGCTACCAAAGCAAATGGACTTTCGTAACGCCCGAGCACGGCAACCGGAAATTGTACGTTCGGTACAAAAGGATGCACGTTACGCAAATGAGCTCTCCGAGGACTTATCCGATATACTAAGATTGACTGGACCACGCAACTGGATCAAATATAATCAATTGTGCCAATTGATAGCGCAGTTGAGCTATCATGGGTTTGCCTCTTTGAACAATCTGCAAACACTAGGCGAGGAATATACTGGCATTATACAGGTCGATGGAGACTATAAGCAAATACCCAGTCGATTGGTGAGCAGTACAACATATTTCATTTTAGCTGTCTCTTAATTCATAACTTACCTTTAGCTGCAATTGGTTGCTATAATACTGGAATTTGGCGGCGATGCTTTGTTTCTGCGTGTGCTGCAAAAGCTGGAGCTGCACATAGCTGCTCATGATGAAATTGTACCAGATGCTAAGAAGAAGCTGCAAAAGCTTATACAGTACATGCGACAGTCGCCAAGTTATATCAAGGCGCTGCACAAGTCCCTTTTTTACTTGGACGCCGGCAAGTACCAGCTGTCCAAGCGTACCACTGGCATAAATTACGTACTCATCCGACACTGGCTGCAGCCAGAATTCTCGCTGTATGGCTACAAGATTTTGGGCATCATTACATTCCTACAAGTCACTGTTTCCTTAGCCATTGGCGGTTGGGAGGCATGGAAGGAACACAAGCGCCAGCAGTTAGAGGCACTCAAGCAGGCGGCCAAAGGATTTATACAGCGAGAAAAACAATCAAAGCAGTTGACGGCGAATGTGCCGCAGTGCATCCTCTGCCTGGAGCCAAGGCAAAATGCCAGTCTAACACCTTGTGGCCACCTCTTCTGCTGGATCTGTATACTCGACTGGCTGGAGGAACGCGATGAGTGTCCGCTGTGCCGTGAGTCGCTGAAAAAGTCGCAGGTCATCCAGCTCCAGAATTATGCTTAAGGATAAATTTGTATGCGCTTCTTTTGTATAGTAATTTATTGAAGAACTGATTGATGTACATTTTACATAATAATAATATTGATATATGTATTTAACAGCTTTGGCGGTACTCTGCTACTTGACGGTATAAACCCTCACTGACCCTGTTCTCTAAGTCTAACTTAATCTTAACTATTTACAAATTGTATTCGATTTTAGTGCCTGAACCTTGGCTTTAAATAATATCTAAGTAAACTGTACGATTGAAGATTTGCTTACGCCGACGCGACTCAAAAGCTGAACGCGCTTCCGCCGGCGATTCGAAAGCAACGCGTGCATCTCCTGTGGGCTTACCCTCGTCATTGAAACGCCGTATAATATCATCCGGACTGAGCTTGTAGTCACTGAAGAAGCGCAGAATATCCTTAAGATCCGCCTTGAAAGGCACATTACGCATGGCCACGACGCAGCCCGCACGATTGAACTTATCTGGTATGCCATTCTCTTCTGGCTCGCTGCTTCCATTGTTGGCATTGATGGCGGGTGCAATGATAGGCGGACTAACAGGTACTTCATTGCTACCCAGCTCTGGGCCACCGCGCACAGCAAAGGGATTAAAATGTTGCTTTACATTGCTGCTGTCATCGCTATCCGGCTGCTGCTGCGACTGTTGTTGTTGTTGTTGTGGTTGGCAATTGCTGGCATCATCAAAACGACTTGGACCACGACGTCTTGATTGTTGCGGTTGCTGCTGTTGCATGGGCGGCGACAAGGGCGCAACTGGATCCAGCTGTCTGGGTCCATTGCCGCCTGGCAAATAGTCCATAAACGGTTTATTCATGCGATCCGCAATTTCTTGCGGCGTTATGGACGTCAGACGCAGCCCGCGTCCACGGAAGCGACGATTGTGAAATTCTCTGATGGCCCTTTTGGCATTAACTGCATCAGCAAACTCGACAATAAACTCGCCAGCGCTCTGATTGCGATCATTGAACAGCATCTCAATGTGCTCGATCCGCAAGTTCTCCGATACGAATAGCTCACCCAAATCATTGATTCGCGTTGCATATTCACAGTTGTGAACACGCACAAAGACGTCCTCCGGCCGGCGTTGTTGTTGTTGTTGTTGCTGTTGCTGCTGATGTTGCTGATGCATTGGATGATTGCTGTTGAAATTGTTCTGCAGCATGCCAAAGGGGCCCATATTGTTGTTGTGGTTGTTATTCATCATATGCATGCCATTGCCATAATTGTTCATACCGTTATTTTGCTGCTGAAAGGCAAAAGGTGGCATATTACCGTTATGCATGGCAGTGTTGGCAAACGGTTGCAAATTATTGTGATGATTGTTGTTGTTGTTGTTGTGTGTACTCTGTTGCTGTTGCTGTTGTTGTTGTTGTTGGTCGTGATTGCGTCTACGCGGGTCGTTATTAAATTTGGCCATGGCCATTAAAAGCTCCTGCGAAGGCAGCTGCTGCTGCTGATGTTGTTGTTGTTGCTGTTGTTGTTGTTGCTGTTGTTGTAGTAGCTGTTGTTGTTGCTGTTGTTGTAGTAGTAGCTGTTGTTGCTGTTGCTGTTGTTGTTGTTTGCTCACCTGCTCACGCTCAGCTTCCTCACGCTGCTGTTGCTCCTCCTTCTGCAACTGTTCACTAGCACGTCGCATCTTATCTCTAGCATTCTGCATCTCTGCCTGACTGCTGGCGCGCACGCGTAACTTACGGAAGCCAATGTAATGCCTAGAGGTATCCTCGAGAGCGGAACGTGCCTCATTCTCGCGAGCAAACAGTACAAAGGCCACAAACTCACGCCGATTGTTGGGACTGGGCGCTAGCAGGATGTCGACAATGGTGTAGGTCGCCGAGAACATTTTCATTATGTCCTGCTCGGTGGTTAGCTGGGGCAAGTCCTCAACGTATAGGACACTGATTGGCGGCAAGGTACCCGGAGCAGCTGTCGAACGCTCAGCCGGACTGCTGCTGCTGTGACTATTGCTGTTGCCACGATGAGAACGCTCATCAACCTGCTCGAATTCCTCATCAGAAATGGGCACAATCTGCACCAGGCGATCACGGAAGAGCGTATTGTTGCGCAGCAGCGCCTTCTGGGCGCTGGACACGCGCGAGAACTCAATGTAGGCGACGCCAGTGCGTGTGCCATTCGGTCCGCTAACAATCTTGATGCCATTGTGCGGTATATAGAGGCCGGCAAAGTATTTCCGTAGATCACTGTACGAGGTGCTGGGACACATGCCGCTAATCTTGATGTAGCACGTCTCGGCGATCACTATGGGCGCAGACGAGCCCGCTGCACCGCCACCAGCACCAGTACCACTAGCACTAGCACCAACACCACCGGCTGCAGAGGCAGCCTGCCCTGGCGAATTGCCTGCAGCATTTTTTGCGGCCTGCTGTTGCAGCAACAGTTGCTGCTGCTGGAATAGCTGCGGATACATTTGAGCATAAGGATTGACATTGGCAAAGGCTATCGGCTCCTGTGGCAACTGCTGTGACTGTGGCTTGGCCAGCTGCTGCTGTGGCAACAATTGCTGCTGCTGCTGTTGCTGCTGAGTGGCAGCTGATAGATTGAGATTGTAGTTATTGGTGGTCACATTGCTGGTGGTGCTATAGCTCTGCAGCACGGGCGGCAGCACATTCATCATGCCTAGCTGCTGCTGCAGACCGGGCATAGCATTTAGTCCGGGCGACACAGCTGCAGCACCAGCAGTTGCTATGGTTGCTGCTGCTGTCGGTGGCACTGTGGCGCCCAACGCCCAGGGCGACAGATTGGACACAGCGCCTGTGGACAGCGTTTGGGGTTTTGGCAAAACTTTAAGCTCACGCTCGCTGCTATCGCTGCGCAGCTCCGAGCGACGCTTGCGTCCACGATCGCGCAATCCACGATCGTGACTGCGATCGCTATCATCGGAGCTACTGGAACGACTTCGACTGCGCCTAAAGAGCCCCAGATCGGCCGCTGCTGGCTTGTCGACGGCGGCCTTGAGGCCCCCGACATCGGCTAATGAGATGCCTGCCTGCTGTTGATATGCCAAAAATGAGGGCGTGGCCGACGCAGATGCAGCCACCGAAGCAAGCTGCTGCTTGAGCTGTTGTCCCTGCTGTCCCTGCTGCTGCCCAAGCAGAAAACTGTTCAGGCCACCAATAATTGGCGGCTGTGGCACCGGCGGCATTGCTACTGCTGCCACCGACGCCGCCACTGGCTTAGGCGTGGGCATCGGCATGGGCGTGGGCGTAGGCGTGGCAACAGCGGCTGCACTCACATTGCGCGCCGTTTCGATGACCTTTTGCATTTCGGCACGCGAAGAGAGCAGCAGCCGCACTTGAATCTCCATCAGCTTCTCGCGATCCTTGAGCATGGCGCAGCGAGCATCCTCGTCGGTGCTGTTGGATGTTCGGAAGAGAGAGGAAGAGAAAGAAAGAGAGAAGGGCAAAGGCTTAAAGTTAAAGGATATCATTCGTCAAATGCGTAACAAACAGAACTATGTTAAGAGACTTGGCTTCCACCTGCGCCCCAATCTCTGCCTCTAGCCAGATTTACCAACTCTGCTTTCTACATATGATTACATTTAACAGATTGAGTGAGAGAGAGATATTAACAGAGTGTTTTTTTTTTTCTAACTACCTGAAAGCGATGAATGCGTCGCCCATTTCGCCACCGATTATGTGGACACCGCCCTCCGGTATCGAGAGGCCCGTGAAGAAATTTCGTATATCTCGAGCATTTGCCGTCCACGGCAGATTTTGCAAACGTATAATGACACTCATCTTGATTCAAGACTCTCTTTTTATACCCTGTTGTTGCTATTTATTTTTATAGTTTTTCAGATTTTCAGTTTTGTTTCTTTTTATTGATTTTGTGGTTTAATTTAAAAAGCTTCGGGCACAGCCTTTCTAAGTAGTTGAATCCCTCATTTGCGTTAACTTCAGTTGCTTCCAGCCGAGTCCCAGCAGGTTTTTCAATCATCTGAAATGAGAATCATAGGCTTATGGAGAATACGCTAACAATTTGCATAGACTATATATATGAGATTATAATTGAAGATGGATACGCAGTTTAAGAGCTTCAGAAAAGACTTAGGGTGTATGTAAGTTATATATTTTATTTATTCATTTCTATTTATTTTCTAATCGCTCAATGTATGAGTATATGTTTCTTGTAGGCAAATAATATGTTGGATCCCATTGGCTCGCACAGATGTTAACATTGAGGTTCAGTATCATCAGCAATAAAATCAGTATATTCGTATGTTATCTATGAGTATTTAAAGATGATTTTTATTTTATTATAAATATTTATATAATAAATTCATCAGTAAATATTGCATTTTCTTCTAGAATATTATCAGATAAAGTCAAAAATTGCGATTATTATTGGCCCCTTAAGTAGTTTATTGTTTGAAAAGCTAAGAGCTACTCTTTCCAATTATGCAAATTCATTTTAATAAATTTGGCACCATGCTTAAAACATATTTACCTTGCAACTATTATAGAACTTATAAAGTTTACTGAGTAAAACTTTGTAATGGAACTGAAGAAATCTGGATATTTGCTCCGCATTGCCTTCTAAGCTACTTTTGACCAGAAAACTTACCAAAATTTTGAATAAGCCGTTCAACGAAAATCAAAGATCATATGATTATATATACATATACATAGATATATATTGTATATATTGTTTAAAAAAAAAAACATACATGTAGAGTTTTGAGATATCTAAACTAATAAAATGAAATTGGCATTGACTATATCTTTTCAAGCTAAATACTACAAATTTGTATTATTTATTTGAGTAAGCAATCATTTAAAAAAAATTATTTTTTGTATACATTCCATTAGGGGCGTCTATATATTCCATTTCTGAATTAAGATTATTCTTTTTTGGGCATTGTACAAGTATTAACTGTCGATTAATACTAACAGAAAACAAAAACATGTATATAAATCTTCTATATATACATTATATATGAAAGCTATAACTATAAAGCAATAGGCACATTTGTTAAGCGATCAACGATCAAATCCAAAACGTGTTTAGCTTAATCCAGGATATAGAGCTTACCTATTAGTTGATTTTCTAATTACCTTTGGCATTTATATTGAGTGTAAGGTATTGCCCGCAATTATCAATTATATCATAGCTGTATCAATAATATCTCTTGCGTTATCTGAATCGTTTTGACATTTGAACACGAGCCAGATTCTCAAACAGAGCTGGAACTGTGTGCAACAAACTGTGGCAAGTCGGGCGACTGTCTGTCTGGGGCATTGCATAAGAGCGACCAGTTTGCGTCGCTAATGCCACTAATGAAGCGATAGATTATGTCTCGAATGACAATTAGAAAGATTTTCGCATTTGGCGCTAGTCGCTCACACACACACAGACAGAGACAGAGCTGCGACCTTCCAGTCGTCGATGAAGGTCACACGCCGCAGGAAAGGAGATGTAACTGAAACTATGCTACTGGTATTGAGCAGACCCTATTGCTAATTGATAGTGTTTCACGTTTCAATTTCCTCATTAGATGCACTCAATTACCTGTTGAATTTAAAACTGACTATACCAAAAATAAAAACCAGTTGATCAGATTGAACGTAAATGGGAAAGCGATTATGCAGCTATAATTTAATACGCGTTGCAAATGCCGCCAGCGCTGCGGCCGCCGCTTGTGGCACTGACATGTGCAACTAAGTAGACAACAACCAAACCGCCGTCGCCAACAACAACAACAACAACAACCGACATAAAAGAAAAATAAGCAGGAGTAGGAGCTGGAGCTGGAGCTGGTGGCCTGTTTCATTTGTCTCCACATTTGTTTGTTTGTTTTTGATTTCATTTCTTTTCTTTTCTTTTTGTTGCAGCTGATTAACGCGAAAACTTTAACAGGAAACTTAACGCCAACTCCTTCCGCTTGGCTATATAAAAAGCCATTGTTGCGCCAACTGGGCCGCAGTTACACCAAACATTTGATCGCGTTGTTGTCGTCGTCGTCGCCGTCGTCCTCGTCGTTGTCGATCATCGATCACCGATCACCGATCATTGATCGAGTGTTGAGCATTCAAAAGAAATGAAAATCGCAATTGTGAGTGATATTAATACTAATAATAGATACAATTAGCTCTACTTGATGCATGGCATAGACAGAGTGATATAAGCACTGAAAATACTCTAAATATAATCTGCCCTAGTTGAGATATATTTATAGTATAGACAGAGCAACATAGCTGATTACAGCAACAAAGTCTTCGCGATTACTTTGGGACTCCGGCAATTTTTTATTAATCATATAAGATATGCCATTAGAACGACAACAGCAGCTTAACATTAGCTCAAATTTAAATATTTTCGATATTAAGCGATTTTATTTACATACCTAACAGCATATGAGTCTTTTTAATTTCCAGTGAGTAAATTTCAGTATTTATATGCCAAATATAAATACTTTGGATCGTAAGTGCTTTTAAAGAATTTATTTAGCTTATTATCTAACATATTTGATTACGCAAATCGGTTTGTGTTACTGTTGTCTATTTTATTGAGCACCGATCATTGAATTCTACGAAATTTGTGGTTCCAGCTACATTTATTGGCAATTATATACTTTAATCCATTTCCACGCTGAAATTTAGACTACAACAAAATTGGAATCTTAAAGCATGTAGAAAGCCAAGAGCAGCTTAACACTAAGACATGATCAATATACGATATTTATTTATTTTTATTATAAAAATAGAGAGCTCCAAGGTAGATATATATATACTTCCGATCTTTAGCAATTTTATTAGAAAGATATCTTAGATATTTATATTTTAGTATTTACAGTACAGTCTGACTGTTAACATAAATTAGTTATCCAGCATCTAAATACTAGATCCTTTTTGGAGTTGCTGAATATATTTTAATATTTTTGGATTATAAGAAACGAAATTTTATAAGAGCACACAAATTATAATTATAGCAGATTTATTCAGTGACTAAAACCAAATTTAACTAAAACACTAAAAAAAAAAAAATAATAATAATAAAAAAAAAATACATCGAAATTCGGACTATACCAGCATATGACTTAGATTCTAAACGTAAGACACGATTGAACATAAATCTCATTTAATTAGAGTCCAAGTTTGTTATGGTTTTATAAAAAGCACGTATTTAGACTAATATTGCTATGTATATATATCTCCTACATACTGATTAGGCTTTAATAATCGCTCAATGGCCTTACTAACCATAATAGCGATTCAGGAACTAAGTACTCTAATGATATTTGTAACTAATTCTTTTATTCTAGACAATGTCGGCACTGGGGCTGCTATTGCTTGTCGGCGCCCAGGGCACAACCATAATCAGCATTAAGTATCCTCCACAGAGCACCGACGCCAAGTCCCTAGATCGCACACAGCCGGCAAAGAGAGATCTAAGTTTAAGCTATGCAGCCACAAATATTGATTCAAGGGAAGGCACACGCGTCAAAACGATCACAGTAATCAAGAATGTAGGCGGCTTTGGAGAGTCGAGTGCGGCGAGCAGTAGGCAACAGAAGCTCGCCATCAATCCCGAGCTGCACAAAAACGAAGAGTGGGCGAATGCCTTTCGCGATAACTTCGAATCGTATGGTGGATTGCCCGAAGTGCCAGACATAGACGATCTATTTGACTTCGTGAATAAGAAAAAGGTTACGTCGCCGTCCGAAAAAGAGATAAAAAGAGAGCCGAAGCCTACAGAAAGCACGACAAAGGCCTCGCCACCAACACCAACAACGCCACCGCCTCCACCACCAACAAAAGCAACCAGCGAGCATGCAGAGGATGCAGAAGACAGTGACGAGGCGACCGTGGAGAAGATTAAAGGCGATGCCGAGCTGCTACCACATATCAAACAGGCGAATATATTGCGACTGCAAGCGTTGGCTGTGAGAAAGCAACAACAATTGCAGCTACAACAGCAGCAGCAACAGCAACAGCAGCAGCAGCAGCAGCACCAACAGCAGCAACCGCAGCAACTGGAACAGGATCAGCAGCCAGACCAGCGACATCGCACACGCGAATCTCTGATCAATGTAAACTACTCGACGCCCATGCATTCGGTTAGCCAGTTTTTTGAGAACTATGTCCAGGTGCTACCCAACGGTTATGACTACACCAAGCCGCAGCAGCCACAGCAACCGCAACAGCCATGCGCTCTGCCATCACCTCCAAATAGCATACAGGTGACAACGCCATCGGGACGCAGCTACAATATACCGCAGAGCAATAGTAGTGGCACCAACGGAGGTGCAAATCATCCCTACCTGGCACCATCTTTAGCCAAGAGAACGCAGATACAGCCAGCAGCGCCAGCTCAACCACAGCCGCAGCCGCAGCCACAGCAGCCGCCGAATTTCTCCACGGTTAATTCACTTGTGCCGCCTATTGGACCGAAACCGCAGGGCACTAATTATCCAGTAAATGTGCCGCAGCCGCAACAGCCAGCGGCACCGACTCAAGGTGTAGGTGCAGTTGGAGCTTCCACTAGCCAGCGCCCCTACGTCGCGCCCAGTCTACGCAACAATGGTCTGGGCATAAATCGGGGCCCCTCAACACCGCAACCGCCTGCTGTGCCATCGTACAGCACAGGCAATGTGAATGGTGGCTACCCTACCAATTCATATGGCGCCAATCGTCCGAATACATTTCGATCGCGTGGCTTAAAATATTAAAATACTGTGTAATCTTATAACTAATAGATATTTTAAGACTTCTGTTGTGTTTATGCATTTATATGTATGAAACGTATTCCTAAATATACCACACACACTCACATAGAGTCACATACAGACACACATACGTAACACACATGTCCGAAGGTACAGGCTGGATTAATCAATAGCGCTGCCAGTGATCCACTTAATTGCAATCAATATGAAACGCGATGATAAGCACTTTGTATAGCTGGGCCAAGCTGTTAATTAACTATGATTCCAATACAGAAAACTTTCTTGGAGTCGGTGTTATTGGTTGCTGGCGCTGATTTCTACGAAATGTGTTTTGTCGTTGCACTATGTAGTACACACATTTTTGCATATGTATGCGTGCATGTCTGTACTTTTATCAATGAACTTTTACTCACCAATGGAAAACCTTAAAAACGCAACGCAAACTTATTGAGGACCAATGCACAAAGACAGAAGAGCTCGGGGGTTTTGTTTAGCTCAAACGCTATATTTATTTTGTCAATTTCTATTGTTTATCAATATGAAAATGTGAATTTTCTCGCAGCAACACAGCCTAGGTGACTTCAATTGTAGTAGTAACAAAAATAAAATGGCGACTGTGTGGCTTGAATCGATATCACAAAATATCGATATTTGTTTATGCATAAACATAGTCCACTAATAACGAAAACTGCGCACTTAACTATGCTTGTGGTGCAATATAATAAGATTTTTTAACGCGAATATAATTTAGCAGAAATTGTTAAATAAAATTGATAAATACCATATTAAAATAAAATTATAAAGTTATGGTTTATTTAATTACTTTGAATTTTGAGGTAGTTAAATTGCCATTCGCATGTCTGTTAAGATATTTATGGTAATTTTACACTTAAACGTGTGCAGTCACACTGTTTTTCATAGGTCAGCACGGATGCTGATTTTTCCAACCGAGGATTTTTTGGTTTTTATATCAAAATTAGTTGCTTTCACAACACCAAAAATATTCCCCAACATTTTGGAGTCCTTTTAAGTCTGTGCTTGCACATTCGACAACTGAAATTTGAGCCACAAGATCGACATTTTACGCAGCGTAAAACCGCAGTCGTCACACCTTTGGACAGCAATCACACACCAATACCATCAACAAAGACAATTTTAGAAAAGGACGGCAAATCAGCAAAAATTCAGCAAAAGCAAAAAGTGTTATTGAGAAGCAATAAATAAGAAGGCACAAGTACTGAATCTAGTACTTTTTAACGCTTTCGATTATCGACTTAAACCGAAAACCACTCGCATAACCTTTTGGAAATATTACGCAAGTATTATTTCTGGGTATATTTGTTAATAATCATGGCTCAGTAAAAATGAATCCTCAACGAAAAATTGTCGCGCAACGCACTCCTTGTGGAGACGAACGTCAACGCGAGACGCAAATTGCTGTCGATTGGCAGCAACACACAGTCAACGCACAATCTTCCGCTTTCTTCTATACTTCCTTCAACGAGCTCTGCGGCCTTAGCGCAGCCAATAATATCAATTACAATGGAAAACAACAACAAGAAGCAGGCACCACAACAACGTGCAAATAAATCATCGGCTGAAGCACAACGAAAATCTAGTGGTGAGCAAATCGAATTCTGCAGTTGTTTTTATGTCATTTTGGTTATCTGGTGTGGGAATTTGTTTTTCTTTTCTGATTAGAGATAGAGATGGAAAGCTCTAGTTGGAATTTAGGCATTTTTTATATATGAGTAGTCACTAGAGCTCTGATTTGTTTTTCTTTTTGTGCAGACTTATATGTCAACAAAACACGCAATTCTCGACGTCGCGAACAGCTTCCTACACCACGCAACGAGCAGCAACAACGCGGCACCAAACAACAGCAACAGCAGCCGGGAAAACTACGCGCCAATGTGGACAAGCGTCCACGTGCTCGTGGCGGCGGAAGCGGTGGCAACAACAGCAACAATTTCGGCTTTGACAACGGGGATGGCATTGCATGCACCGGTCCGGATAACACTTATGGCGGCGCCGGATTAGCATCTGCTGGCGCCGGCTACATTCGTAGTGATCTTGACTATGAGTTAAATTCTGTGTATGCGCACGGCAGCAAGAAGCAGAATCTGAACCATCTGCTGAATTTTCATTGCGTTCCGCGCGAGTCGTCGAGTACATCCGACTGGCATGCCAGTGGACATGGCGTGGTGTCGACTCGTCGCCAGCCACGTTACAACAAGGAGCAATTTTTGCAGGCCAACTTTCAGTTTGTTATACGCAGCAGCGCCAAGGCGCAGGTGAATGGCTCGCCGGACACGTTGATCGATTGGAATCTTATCGAGCAGATCAATATACATACCACCGAGGAGCCGCAGTGTCCCATTTGCCTCTATCCGCCGGTGGCCGCCAAGCTGACTCGCTGTGGCCACGCCTACTGCTGGCCCTGTCTGCTCCATTATCTCTCGTTGAGCGATAAGACTTGGCGCAAGTGTCCTATCTGTTATGATGCCATCCATGCAGCAGATTTGAAGAGCTGCACCATCCAGCAGCAGCATGCTATGAATGTGAACGATACTATCAGCTTTCATTTGATGCGTCGACGCAAAGGTTCAATGTACATTGAGCGCTATGCAGGCGCAGCCGACTCAGCTCTAGAGCCACACGAACGCTTTCCTTTGCTCAGCGCAGAAAATGAGGCCAAACATTTCTCGAAGTTTTTAATTGCCAAGCGTTCTGACATTGCGGCTATTATTGAGCGCGAACGTCGCGAGCTATCGGCTGAGTCCGATGTATCCTGTCCAGAAGATATTTTTATCCAGCAGGCGCTGCTAACACTGAATGAACGTTGCGAAAAACTTGGCTTGGAGCCTGAGGAGCAGCAATCCATCATACAGGCTGTGGAAGAAGAGCAAGTGCAAGCTAAAACTCCAGATATTGATATTGAGAAACTAGACGAAGCTTCCGTCTCATCCTTGGGCGAAGCGAGCAGCAGCAGCAGCTCCAACATCAACAATTGCACTAAATATTATTATTTCTATCAATCGAATGATGGACAAAACATCTACTTGCATCCATTGAATGTGAAGATGCTGCAGGCATGCTATGGCAGCTTGGATCTAGCTCCAGTGCTCATCAATGCACAGATCATACAAAAGGAGTATCACTCCATGGACGAGGAACATCGCCGCAAATTCACTTGCTTGGGTCATTTGCCTTTGACCTGTCAATTCGCTGTGGTCGAAGTGGAGCTGCAGCCTCCAATTATATCGGCCAGCATACTCAAGTTATTCAAAGGTAAGTGGGGAGGAGAGATATGTATGCAAAGAGATTCATTTCATTCTTCGATTCTCTAGATGATATATTACATCGCAAGAAGGAGCGTCAGCGTCGCGAGCGTGAAGAACGAAAACGTGAGCAACAAATCAATGAGATAAATGACCGGCAGATGGGCAAACTTATTGCCAGTTCAGCCAATTTAAATCTGAACTCCACTCATGAATTTCCAACTGTGCGTAATTAGTTATATATCTACCAGTATAAACACAAACCTAATATTTCAATTACTTTTGCAGTGTGGTTTCGAGGAGGATTTGCCTGTACCACGCGGTGCTGCGCCCATTACTATTGCCCAGGCTACGACCAGTCCTCGTTACTCAAGCGTGGCTGCCAGTCCCAAGCAAGAATTGTGGCCTACCATTGGAGCAGCCTCGCCTGGCGGCTCTGCAGGCTTGCGTCAGAGTGCTCCAGAGTTTCAGGTGGGCGCATGGGGTCGTGCTGCACCGGCACCGCCAGTAATTCAATCAACTATAGCCAGTCGTGTGACTTCGGAAGAGGATCATGAACTGCGTGCTGTAGGTCCCTGGGCCCTGGGAGAGTTGCTTGTGGGTGCATTGGGTCAACAGAAGCATCAACAGCGTGCAGGCAGGCCGAATACTACTGCAGTAGATGCTGTAGCCAGCAAGAAGCAACAGAAAAAGGCGAAGGGCAAGAAAATGGTACCGCTCTTTGCCGTAGGCATGAACAGAGCCCCGTAGGTTGGGCCCAAATATATCCGTAACGTTATTAATTCAACACTCATAATACATTTGTCATAAGAAATTTTTTGTTAACAGCGTCAAGATCGCAAGACTATTTCAATGTTATTACAAATAACTATTTTCTAAACCATACAAACCTTTATAATTTAATTATATCATATGTATTTCGCATTAATATATGTAACAATATATAATCAATAAAGATGAGCATGGCAAATATCTGAAAATTATTCCCCCATATTTCAAGAAAATGCATCGGAAATGTTGCGTTGCTTTCAATTTCATTTTATTTCTCCAAAAAATATTCAACAAAGCATTTTGTTTATTTTATATTTGATGTTCTGCAAAACTTATTTTTGCATCTAGTTTTTATTTCTTTTGTTTTCTTAGAATGTGTATTTTTTCCATTTTGTATATATGTATGTATTTTATTTTGTATTGTATTCATATTGGTGTTGTGTGTTCGACTTATAGTTAAGGTATTACGCGAAATAATTTAATATAAATAATTCTAAATAGTTTTCATTTATCCTTTGACGCAAAAATTCATTTAAGGCTTCATACTATAAAATGAGTCTTGTATTGGATTTTCTTTTCTTATCCCTTTGCTACACAGCATTTCTCTCTTCGCAAAATGTTTGCTGCTTCTCTCTTCCTATTCGTTTCCATTTCTCTTTTGGCTAAAAATTGGCTACAGGATAGTCTTAAGGGTAAACAGGTGCAGGTGCAGGTGCAACTAAAGCTAACACGACGACAGAATACCACTTAGTTTAGTACACCTAAAGCATATTGCGACAGTTTGTGTTGTGTGGGAAATGAAATGCCACACGAGTTAATCACACGAAAGAACAATTTAATAAATATACAATAGCTTCAATAGATAGTGAAAGTGAAACTAGCCAAATCTGAAATCTAAAATATATAGTTGCTTGCAACGCATTCCCACTACAACTAGCTAATTCAATCAGTTGCTGCGCCGCTCTACGAATTCCGCATCGTACACGGCATCATCGTCATCGTCGTCGTCGTCATCGTAATCCTCCGGCGAGGAAGCAACCGCCGAGCGGCTCTGATAGCTAGGCCTGGCCAGCGAGGAACGCTTCTGGCTGTTGCCATTCAGGGAATTTGTGCTGCCTCCGCTGTACTCGGCGGGCAGTTCCAAATACTCATCGGAATCATTGCCATCGTCCAAATCATCGCCATTTACCGAGCCGGATGGACTGCCAGGCGGGCTGAGTGCTTGGATGAGTTTGCCCTTTGACTCGTTCCACAAATGATTCAGACGCTCCCGACCAAAAAGCAGTAAAAACGTGTCGATGAATTCGCGGGATTTTTCCTCCCATTTGGTGATAATGTCGCCCTTGACTTTGGTCAATTCGCGTTTTCCACGCGACTTTAGCTCATCCATTTTGTTTTGCAAACGGAATTTCTTCTCGGACAAAAAGGAAACGTTAAGCTCCTTGGCAGAATACCCACGTGCGAGATTGCGACGCACATACAAATCATAGTCCTTAACAATGCGCGCCACTATGTCCGAAGTGGATACGCCCTCGGTACGCTCCGTGGCGACGAACATGCCACGTGCCTTCAGCGGACCATAAATGTCATCCAGGCCATCATGTACATAGGGAATGTCATCGTGAGCCACAAAGTCAATTTTATTTTCCGCAATGAACTCATCGGATAGGGTCCATGGGGCATTCTGAACAACCTGCAAATTAATGGAAAGGACTTGAGTATGAGAGAATTCGGCAATTTAGGTCGTCCCTGTAGCACTTACCTCATCAACGTAACGACAATGACGCACTCCCTCATAACGCTCGAAGCCATTCATTACAGTGCGTCCCTTCATGCGATGCGTGAGCTCATCATTGCAAACGCCCACAATCAAATAGACGTTGGGAAAGATGTTTTTGGCCTGCATTAGCTGCCTGGCGTGGCCCTGATGGAACAGATCGTAGATGCCATCCGCATACACGCGTACCCGACGATTCGTCTTGCCGGAGCGGGCCATCTGATAGGTGATCCGCTGAGTATAATCGCAACGTTCGCGTTCCAATATAGCTTCCTCATCGGAGGAGAAGGGCGCTGGCTTGCAAATTGTCTGTCGAAGAGAAAGAAAAGCGAAAAATCGTACTTAGTCAAGCAAATCTTTAACAGCTTTTCAAGACCTTACAAACTCCTTAAAGTCCATGTGCAGCGGTAACATTTTGTACTCAAATATCGGTGGCGACACCGGTGCCTCTTCCTGATCGGACATTTTAAAGAATTTTCTTTGTATTTTTTAAAATTTTTTTTATGGTTGTATATACTTGTATCGAATATATGTATAAATATATATATATATATATGTTTATAGCTGTCGTATCACAGTGAAAATACGATCTGCTTGGCTTGCTTACAGCTGTCTAACTGAGAGCTCCAGGCGGTAACTGCTCCCACATTGCCAACCCAGGCAGCCACAACAAACGCTCGGCTCACTGCGACTAGCTGTCGAGGATTCCGATTGGCCGATTCAATTGCGCAGCGGCTTTCAATTAATTGGCGGCAACTGCTTCCAAATCAATACAATTGTCAATTGTCAACAATAAAGCGGACGGAAGGACGGCCGAGAGATGGAAACCTGACCACAAATTTCAATTGACTCAAATTGAACGAACGCATAAATATGACGATGATTATACACACGTATGCATGTGTATGTGTGCACCTCTATATTTACATAGGAAAAATGCCTGGCACTAGCCTCACACGACTTGGCACGACTTGACACAAGGCGCTGCTCTCAGCAACATCAGGCGATATCGTATGATATCGACCTCAGTTAATGGTGAGCGCGAACAGCCAATCAAAGTGTCGTCAATTAAATTCGCAGCAGCGCAGCCAAACTGATTGCCAAAAAATAAAGAATCAAAATCAGATCACTTGTCTATAAATGGACATGTTGCAGAAAATATAATGAAATTTAAACGATAAACGAACTAACAGTACTTACAGCTAAACTGATTCAAAGTCAAAATACAGACAGCATGTTGGAAGTCAAGCTGAACCGTTAGTTAGAAGAAATGAATATCAATAATGAATAATGCCTTAGGGCAGGATGCTGGTTCACAGCCTTGAAGTTTGCAGCCCTGGTTCAGCTATTTTTAACAAGTTCAAGCTTAATTGCTCAATTTGTGGAGTCTCACGAGCCAAGCCTTAACCCAGAAATGGAGTCAATTTGCTCTTTGTGGGTGTGCAGCCCTGGTTTACTTTAATTTATTTTTAAAGGCTAAAAGCTAAATATAAAAAAAAATATTGTGTAAATGCAAATTACAAAAAAAAGACCTCCTAAACAAACATTTGACACGAATGTAGCTCATTAAAAAGTTAATAACTTGTGTCAAGCGAAATTAAAAAAAACAAAAAAAAAAAACATTAATTAAAAAAAAAAACACACACACATTCGACATGCACACATACAAATGTACATACATACGGATACTTATAAATATGTGTCTAAGTATATGAATACACTAATAAATATGTGTATTTGTATCGAAATCATTTCACGCTCGACTAATCATTGGCACGAGGAAATTAAATTAAAGATATATATGCATAAAAAATAAATAGGTTAAAATAGTTATAAACATATAGATATATGTACACTTGTATATTCGTATTTCCTCGATGAGTAATGAATGGATGTTTGTATGAACTAGTAACCGACCACAAGTTATCTAACACTTATAAAAGTCTTCTATCCATAATCAATCATAATAATAGCCAATCTAAACATATAACAATGCAAGCTATTTCCCGGTTATTGAGCATCAACAATTGTTTTTCCCCTTTCATTTTCTTTGAAAATGGCAAGATAAAATAGAACAAAGATGTATTTTTATAGAAATGATTCCAAACTGCGATTTTCTGTTTACAGTCTCCACTGATGATGCAATCTTCAATGAGATGACCTTGTGAAAGACAAAACATTTCGGTAGCTATCTCGCTTCCACACTTACCGCTAGATCTGCAAATCCGCTGCTGTTGAGAGATTGGTGGGTGGAGGATGCGGCCATTGTTGAGGACGTCAACGGAGTTGGAGTCGGTGTGGACAGTAACATTGGTGGTGGGGACGGCAGCAGAAGTGGTGGAGTTGTGGGCGGAACATATTTGCGCTTGACTCCAGTGCTGCCATTGAGATAATCCTCGGATGCCGCCGTCGTGGAGCAGGCGGGCAAGGTGTCATCCGGTGCGGTGGCCTCGACGCTATCATCCGCATCGCTCTGTGAGATTGTGCGCGTGATGTCGCGCAATGTAGTCGCTGCATGTGGCTCTGCCATGTCCACAATTACCGCCTTATCCGGGCTAGGGCTAGGAGTACTCGCCTTAGCCGGGGGGGGCGTGGCTGTGCTTGTGCGTTGCATTGTCGTCAGTTCTTTGGCGTCCATAGCGGGCATAGTAATGGCTGTCTCGTAGGTGCGCTTGCGAGTGCTTAACGTCGATGTGACCACAACGGCGCTGGCAGCAGCTGCGGCAGCTGAGGCAGTTGCGCCGGCGTTAATTGTGTTGTTAGTGTTATTGGCTATTACCGATGAAGTTGCCATCGCAGCGTCTCTGTTGCAGCGGTCGCGGCAGTTTTCCTGATTTTACTCTAAAAACTTGTACACACTAAAATAGAAAGAGCTCTTCGTTGTTGTTGTTCTTGTTGTTGAAAATCTGCAATTAGAGAGAACAAGTGTATACATAAATAAATTAACACGCACAGATAAAAACGCGTCTGTAATCTGATGTAAACTCATTTGTGGCACTGATGCTCGCTCTTCTTCTTGCTGGCTGTGGCGGATGCGACACGTGACATTTTCATTAAATTACTGCCGGATGCCATGGACAAATCAATTCGCTTTAATTGACATTCGTTTCGTTTTGCCACGCGCGTTTTGATACAAAACACAATGCAGTAAAGCAATAATAATAAAAAGTAAAAAAAAAAAAAAAAGCAGAAGGTGAAGAATGTTCAAAAACAACAACACATTCTGGCACGTATTCAGCGTTCATCATAGGTAGTATAAAGAGAGAGTGAGAGAGAGAGAGAGAGAGAGAGAGAGAGAATCCGCTCTCTCTCTCTGCTTGACGATGACAAGTTCATTACGAGTGAATAAAATAGAAAGTAAAACTTGAAGCAAACAGCAGTTGAACAAACACCGTTATTGTCAAGTTCGATGATAAAGCAACGAACATGTATAAGTATATTTATATTCAATCAATACATATAAACACACAATTTATTAATTAAAGTCCAATAATGCACGTGAGCCCTCTGTGAGCGTAAAGAAACTATTACCTTAGATCGCTCTCCCTCTCTCTTCCCTGTCTCTCGCGAACACACGCGCTGCTCTCCACAATCAGCTGTTTGTTGCGTGCTTTTCTACAAATTTTTAAATTTATCCAATGCTGTGTGCTCATAAAATATTTATGTAGTTTGCTTAGAACGCTGCCTGGCCTTCACGAGCCATATTACGTCAAAGCTTTTTCTTTTTTTTGTATACATACATACATATATGCGAGAACCTAAACATTTCTTATCGTGTAGCGACGATAAGGTTAATAGGAATACAAAATATTGGCCCGGAGACCAAAATTTACTATGTGTTCAGGGTATTCCGATCAAGGCTGCTGACGCCGGTGTTGCGGGTTATACTACCACAGCTGACTCATCCAATTGGGCACATGCAAAACCGGCTTTGAACCTGCGAATTCTCACGTTGCCTGTTCGTTCAAGTTCAAGTTAGTTTTACACAAAACTGGATATATGCCACTGATGTAATCATTATTTTTGCTAGAAGAAATGGTGAAATAAAGACTCCAAAAAAACAAAATCAAAAAACACTTGATAATAAATGGTTGCCAGGCAGCCAGAAGAATCGTAACGCGGTTTAAGAGCAGCTGCGGCAATATTTCGCTCATCACGTGACGTCACATGCGAACGTCAGCTACAATCATACGATCGGCGAATACACACACAGGCACAAACGCGTTTGCATATGTATGTACATACACACATATATGTATGGCCTGTCAGTGTGTGCATGACTCAAAACGTAAACAAAATACGAAGAGAAAAACGAGTACATGGGTACGTGGTAAATGAAGAAGAATGCAAACCGCATCGGCAGATGGGTAGACGGCATAGTCAGCACTGATAAAATTAACCGCCTGCGAGGTAGCTACCTGTTCTGTCTAATCTTAACATTTCTTTTCCATTATCTTTTTGAAACATGTTTCCGTTGCACTCTGTACACATAACTTAATGAGTTCCCGAATGACGAAGTGAACTAAGTACACAGATTAAATAGCAGTTACCAGGAATATATATGTACATCCATATAGTGTAATATATATACATATGTATATACATACATACATAGTATATTGATACAAGCACGAGCTCGATGATAAGCAGAGCGATAACAGAGACGGATCTATACATTGTGTATACTAAATAAATTACTCTACATAATACTTTGAAAAAAGCGAACCTCGCAAAATTCCCCGACAAACAACGATAATTCACTTCGTCATCTGAAACGTCTCTAAGCCGAGCTCGAATACGGGGTTAATGTACGTGGCTCGCGTTTCTCTCTTTCTCTGCCAAAAAAAAAAAAAGTCATGTGGAAAGGCCAAGAGGCAAAAAATTAACTTTATGTTTTCGCTGTACGTTTTCTGGGAATTTTCGTTCGTCAGTCTGACTTTAAAGTACAGTTGACACGTAGAATCCACGTTAACATAAGTTAGGAACGCTGTTATTCATTGATAAGCTGCTTGCCTTGCTCTACATATAGAGCAAAAATATACCATGTTCTGTATTACATATGCGTTGCATTGATAACCTCACAGTTGGCTCCCAACCATTATCGCAATTCAATAATTTGCCCAAAAATAAAAATTAAGTTGGAATTTGACCCGTGAAACAGCACAACTTACTCAATATGCATATATTGCGTGTATAATTTAATTAAAATCCAATTAAACTTATGTTTCGCCTGAAAACTATCACACTTGAACAGACTGCGTCGAAATATAGATAAAGAGTTATATTAAACAACTATTTGTGCAATTAACACCACCTGCTGGCATAGTTGCTTGATAAGCAGCTAATCGAACTACTTCAATGCGCGAATTCTCGCCGAAATTTCAATTTGAAATGTTTGATCCCACTGAGAAATAAGTCCACTACAAACAAATACTCACACACACATACATATATAAGGCACCCCCACTCATGAATGTCGATAAACGGTTTCATTGAGTAACGAAAACAGCTGACTAACTGTGCGTGGGCTTCATATGCGTACGCCACGATCAAACGCGCTCTCTCTCTCTCCCTCTCTCTCTTACTATGCTCTGCTTCTCCCACTACCGTTTCTTTTTGGTGCGTTTTGGTATGTACATTCATAGCTTTGAGACTAGAGTCAAAATTAGGCAACGGTAAAAAAAACGAACGGTCGCTTGGGAAAGTGGAGCATGAGCGCAGCTGGCAGCGACGTCAGCGTCAAGCATGAGTAATAATGGGCATTGCGCTGGTTATTATTAAATTTGTTGTTTTTTTTTTTTTTTTTTTTGTATATATAGATATACTTTTTTAATTTTTGCAATGCCAACCAACAGTGACGGTGCCAACTTTAAATCGTACGATCAGAGCACAAAGTTCGCTAACAGAGGTGCTACACTTGAGAGAAAAGGTCAGAACGATTAGTAGTAGAGAGAGAGGGACAAAGAGCGAAATATAAAATAAATAAGAGAGAGCTGCGTTGCGCGTTGCATGTGCCACAACAAACCCATAAAAGTCATACGATGTCGAGAGAATGACGTGGCGACGACCCATCGTAAGGATTAACGGGGGGAGAGGAAAGAATGGAATTGGCGACGCCACGCCGGTTGTAGCACAAATCGATGGCGCAGCAGCAGCAGCAGCTGTTGTGCGAGTGCATCAAATATCTGGGACCTGAACAGCATTGTTATGTAAACATCTGAGCTTTGGTAGAAAAACCAATCCAGAAAGACGGATATGGAACGCATGAAGAACAAATCAAAATCGAGTGCTAATTTGCTAAAAAAAAAACGAGCACGGTCACAGCTTGAGAGAGGGAAAGAAATAGGAGAATTGCTCACGTCACGGGCAGCGCGTCAACGTCATCGCCAATTGGCAGGGGAGAAGCAGCAGCCGCGGCACTGCGTCGTTTTGTACATATTACACACATACGTATATATTTGTTGTAACCCAACAGACAACAACAACAACACCATTTACCATAGAAAATTTAGGCCAACTTACTTTCAACTTTTCTCTTGATTTAGCTTTAATATTTCGGCTAAAAATCGATGAGTGCTCGTGGTGCTACGTTGTATTATATATGTATTATATTTTTTCACACAGAATGACGCACCATGAATTAAATTGTTTGTTTTTGTAGCACTGTGCGCCTGAGTGGCAATTATTAACAATCGTCGCTGATTCACTTAGTGATGTTGTTATTTGTTGATGCTTCAACCACAGCAAATGTTTTAAAGCTAATGTGTGTCCGCGTCTGCCCGTCGCAACAAAACGAGTAGAAATCGCGCTCAGTGTAACTTATGTTAAGCGTTGCCACACTGTTAATCAATGCCACCGGTTAAACAAAAGTATATCGATAGTTTAATAGTACGTTGTCATTCGTAAGCGAATGGCAATTACTTACGTTATCCGCACGCAATTTAAATTGGATTCCCAAAATAATTTAAATTTTAATTGAATTAAACAACTAATATTTTTTGCCATAATTTGGCTGTCTTTTGTATATATTTATTGACACTCAATAACTTCATAAATGTTTTTTTTTTTTGACTAAATAAAATACAAAATAAAGCTTGATATTAACGTAAACACCATGAATCTTAATCACTTAATTTCAATAATATCAAAATATACACAATATTCAAGTCACAAAAAATCTCTTTGGTACATCAACTAAATAAAAAAAAGCAACCGTTGTAAAAAAAAATAAATTCACTAACTTAGGGCAAAAATTGACCAAGTTATTGGAGGAGCTTAAATGCTAAATTCTACACAATAATTCGTATTGAACAACATTTTTTTAGAATTATTTGGGATTAATTTCATAATTGCACAGAATTTTTTTGTTAAACTTTGGCTTCACACTTTGACTCGTGAACACTTGGCAAGCGAGTTGGATGGCAAGTGTTTGGGATTAGGATTAAAATTGGATGACAAGTCTTATTAGCTTCGATCAAACTACCAACGAATTCGAGTTTTAGAGATTCCCCGTTAACTAATTAAGGGCATATGTATGAGTATTCTAGGTCACTGGTTGCATATGTCTGTGGGTGAGTGATTGGCTGGGAGATACCTTATCAAATTATATTCTCAGCACTGGGATGGAATGCGTATGCCCTGTGTAATGGAGTTCTCCAGCACGATGTGGCAGTCATCGAGCGGCTCCAAAATTTGTATAAGAAATGTTAAAAGATTGCGACGACGCAAAAAACTCTCCTCCTCGTACATCTCCTGGGTGACCTTCGTCAAAGCCATGGGTTTGATAAGACGTGTCAGCAGATGCTCCCTGTTAAAACAGTATTTATAATTTAGTTATACACATATTTCCTTTAATTGAGATTATCATACCTTAAACTGAGGCATATGAGCAGCTGAAATTTACCATCTTTGCCCAGTGTGCTGGCCGTACCATTGATCTCGTCCATGAGCTGCACATAGAGACGCCATATGCTGGAAATTTCACGCCTTTGCAAGCTGTTGCAGCTGCCATTACTGAAGGAGGAATCCAGACTGGATGCCGAATCATCCAGTTCCTGTTGCAGATTCTGTTCGAAAAGCTCTTTGATCTTGGCTGGAAAATACATTTTTCATTAGCTTAAGGTATAGTCTTAATTATAGACCACCTACTAAAGTAATCCCAGATGTACAGATTACGTCCGAAGAAACGGGATGAGCGAAAGCCGCAAAGGAAGACCTGTTCCAGGCATTTAACCAATCCATCATCACCACACAACAGATTCGTCAGGGTGCCCACATCACGATCCCGACTCGGTTTGTAATGCCACTTGACAATCACGTTGACACAGTTGCCCAACTGATGCTGAATCTCTGAGGGCGACACCGACTCCTGGCGCTGCACACTGGGACTGCGAGTCCGTGGAGGTGTGCGTGTAGGTGGCACCAGCTCGGCATTCTTAACGCTGGTGAGCACACGTTGACCCACCAGCAGGCGCTCCGTCGAATCGTCGTCGACACCCTTGCCCAGCCAACGGCCGCAGGGAAATCTAAATTACGAATTGCGTGTCATTTGATATTCGAATGGGTTAAATTACTTGTAGGTGTAAATTACTTGTAGGTGTGACCAGTGACCTCATTCCTCATTACCACCTGCTCCACCAGCCACTTGTGACTCGGCCCCGAGTTGTCATGTCCTATGCGCATGGTGGTCAGCAAGCCAAGATTCTTGTACTGCAATCAGTTATAACGTATTGAGTGAGTGTGAATAGAATGCTAAATTGGCTCGACTCACATGAAAGATGAACTCCAACGAGCCCTTGGGCACGGGCACACGTTGGGTTTCATTCATGGTGCCGGAGACCATGATCCACACGTTGCTGGAGGTGTGGTAGGAGCCGTGTTTACGTGATGGAAAGATGACAACGCGATAGGGCAACTCTAAACGAAGGCAGAGAATGAATGTTAATTACAAAATAAATATACGCGTCTCTCTGTTTCAGCTCAACCTACTCGTTGTGGGATAGATGTTGGTAAAGCTGAAGTAGTCCACAGTATTGAGCGTTAGCAGATGATAGAGAAATTGCTCCTTCTCCTCCTCGCAGCGCAGGAAGGCAGACCGCTTGTAGAGTGTACGCAGCAGACTCTCATCGGAGAGCAGTGTGCGAAAGTGGCGGGACAGGAGTTTTTTCTCCAAGGAGAGACGCACCCAGGCGCGTGTATACCCAATGTGTGTCTTGATGTCCGCCATGGCCAGCACGTTTCTAGAGAGATTGATTAACATATAAAGTTCACTCGCGCAATAGCTAAAACCCACTTGACATCAAACTCCAGCGACTCGGGCAGCGGGCACAGCTGCTCCAGACCCACAAATTTGTTGCGATCCCGTGAACGACTACGATTCGGACTGGGAGGACTCTCGAAATCCGTTTGGAATGTGGACAAATCTGATAAGCGAAATGTGTGAAGCTTCAGTTAGATGCTCTTGCCGAACAAATTCGATGCACTTACAATCCATGCGCTTGCGCATGGCATTCCAGGCCAACGCTGGCGAGGCGCTGGCAATATTCATCTTGTTGCTGCTGGGGCTACTGGACACCGGCGTTGCAGGTTCCACGCTGCGTGACTCCTGCTGCTCCAGATAGGCCTGCAGATGAGCCCATAGCGCCGACTTGCCCTGTTTATTCTGTAGGCCATGCGACCAGATCTTCTCCAGCAAATCGCACATGCTCGCTATAAGTGTGTTCTCCTCGACGCCGTCGCCTTTGAGGCCTAGGGCCACCGCCTCGTGTCCCATCTTCTCGAGCAGCATGCGCTTCGTCTTCGACTTGATGTCCTGTAGAAAGTTGTGACTTTTACAACTGCTGTCAAGAGTTGGCTTGGCTGTGCTCTATTACCTTTAGCAAGCGCTCCACAAATGTCCAGTTGGCCTGCGCTATCAGAGCGGGACTGACGTCCGTTGTGGTCAGATTGGCCGAGAGTCGATTGATGGCCGCATTCGAGTTGCAATTAGCACTGTTCGACGGCTTCTGATCCAGCGATATCTCCCGGGCACGCCATTTGTTTCCATTCTTAACCCGTCGCAAGCTGTTGCCTCTGTTCAAGGATTGGTTTTGTTTGTTTTTTTTTTTAATGAATGGTTAGCGGCATGGTTTTGAAGAGTTTTAGTGAAATTTTGAGAGAGAAAGATTTATATTAATTGTAGTTACTAAAAATGAGTCCAAATTATGCAGAGGATGGGTGCGCATGCGGTGCAAAGGAACAAAACGAGAGAGAGAGAGAAAAAATGCAAAAAAAAGAAACGAAAAATTTAACAACAGTTTATGAATTATTTGTTGTTGTCACAATTTATTGGCTTAAATAATTGTTAATCAATAAATTATTGTACAAAAGGCAAACAGAATCAAAAGCAGTACGAGTTAAATTCTAATTGGAAGACCAGACGGACCGAGCATCGGCACTAATACAGAAACTATATAATACATATTCTAACACAATTAGATAATATCAACGACATTAGGTGGGGGAACAGGTGGAACAGAGGCTCAACGACGTGGTGGGGGGAAGTGCGAAATGAATGGACTAATCAAAGGGAGTTGGGATAGGGGAACGTGCTTGGGAATTGGATTGGTTTGGAGTGTAGGTACATAGAGTTCGGTACAAGTGCATTAAACACTACCTCGAGGCGCACTCCTGATTCAACACACCCTTCTCAAGCAGCGGAAAGCTGCGAAAGTAGGCGGCACGATTAGATAAAATCTCACTTGGCGGCGTCACCTCAATGTCAATGCAATTAAGACGCTTCTCGAAGCACTGCTGCGAGTCCTGGCTGAGCACGCATGGCTCATAGCTGGTGGCGCAGATCATATTCTCGCCATGTCGACGCCTGTGAAGCAACAGAGAAACTCACTTTAACCCAAGCCACATCACAGTAAATGGAAGCTTACCTTAGCAGCTTAATGCGCTGATCGAATAGCTGCAGCTGCTCATCCGGCTGTGGCTCCCACATGGCCAGAATTTTGTTGTCAATGAGCGTGGCAAACATTTGAGATTCAAGGAAGCGCGAGAGAAAGGCGCGATGATGTTCTGGCTGATCGGAGAGAAAGGACGACTTGTCGAAATTTTGCAATGTTTCGCGATTCGAGAGCCACTCGTCCTTGGCCTGATTGGGATAGATGACAAAGTATTCGTAGGCTTGGAACATGTGAACGAAACGATTCAGAAATATCTCTCGCAACGAGTTATTTATGCGCAAATCCTGATAGTATTGCTCCACCGCCGACAAAGTTGGCTTTTCAGCGCGCCGCGATAACGAGCCCATGCGAGAGGGCGGCAGTGTTGAATCCACGGCATCGACATCCTGATAGATGCCCACTGGGGACGAAGACAAGGACAGAGTGGGACTGCCAACGGGGGAGCCACCACCAGCCTGGGCAGCTCGCATGCCTCCCTTGCGACGCAGAAAGTCGGCAATGCGTGGCACATGGTCGATTTTCGATGGATGCGCCACCAATGGCTGATAGTCCACGCCTGGCATCTGTGAGGGCGAGCCACCGCCACCGCTATTGGACAACGTGTAGACCGTCTCCTGTAGTTGCTGGAAGCGCTCTTTGCTGCGACGCGCTGCCTGCACACCGTTGGGCAGCGTGCAGCTAGAGATCATAGCATCGGCGCCGCCACGCATGGAGTAGCCATTCTTTAGGCTGGGCTCCTGGGCGCGATCGCGCTCGATTTCGAACTTGTCCAGCACCGAGATGATCTCGGCCATAAAGTCCATCTTGTGCGGAAACACCGGCAGCTCCTCGGGCAGCTGGATGTGCTTCTTGTCGA